TGTACCAATGATTCTGCTGTTTTGGGGACCAGAAAAGAGAGGTTGGTATTGAGGTCATTCCCTTACGTATGCTCAAATTCTCATCAATTTTTCTTTGTTAATTAGATATACAAAAGATAGGAGACAGATAAAAATAAAAATTTCCTGGCCTCCTAGAAGGTTGAATTGGGACTGAAAAAGAGTTAATACGTGTGCTAAAATTTGTTTAAAAGTAATGAGGTCATTTGTGTTGTGTTTCTATGATTTTTAGAGAATTTTATCGTTATCTTTGATTCTTTAAATTACTTGTATTCTTTCTCTCTGCATTTCGCGTTGAATTGTAAGACCTTCAAGCTATTTATTGGGGCCACCAAGCTGAAGTTCTGTTTGAAACTTGAATTATTGTCCATTGTTGATTGAATTTTAAAAATATAAACTGGTGTGTGCCTGCTTTTGCACTGTTGTTTGTAAGATTTTCACTGGTGCCCAAAAAAGATTTTCTGGTGCGTGTTCGAATTTGTGGCTGGTTTAATATTGGTTTTCTCTTGTTAATTTGCAGGATCATAATAAAGTTGCTGTTCTGTATTCTCACTAAGAAAAAAATTGAGTTGTCAAAATCAAGGAGATCCTTTAACGTGGTATCATCTAAGGACTCATAGATTTCTCATCCAGATTCAGTCCTGGTTACATTACGGGATGTAGAAGATGATGAAAAATTAGATGAAGACGATGAAGAAGTAGAAGCATCAGAGTCAGCATCTTACAAAATCTCAACTTCTTCTTCATGCTTCATGCATCGCCTCAGCGTCTCCATCACAACCATCTCTGTTTCCCACAAATTCTCAACCATTTGCTCTCTAAACGCCACCAGGTTCATCAGACCCAAATCATATCACACCTGTCCTGCACTACTCACAATGAATTTCTTGACTTCTTTGAACACCTTCTTCGACAATGCGCTGGACCTGAACAGTGCAAACAAGTTCATTCCCAAATTGTTACCACGGGCACCTGTCAGTCAGCATTCTTGGCTGCCCGGCTCATGGCTGTTTATGCACGTCTTGGCCTCGTGTTGGATGCAAAGAAAGTTTTTGACACCACCACAGTTGAAGGTACATCAAATGTGCTCTTGTGGAATTCAGTCCTTAGAGCTTATGTCTCTCATGGGTTTTATGAAGAAGCACTCCAACTATATGACAAAATGCGTAAACTGGGGGTTTGGGGAGATGGGTTTACATTTCCTTTGGTTATTAGGGCCTGTGCATTTATATCTAGGCTTAAGTTATCCAGGAGTGTGCATGGTCATGTTATACATATGGGTTTTCAGAATCATCTTCATGTTGTCAATGATTTGTTGGGAATGTATGGGAAAATTGGTCGGATGGATTGTGCTCGCCAGTTGTTTAATAGAATGGGTGTGAGAAATTATGTTTCATGGAATACTATGGTCTCTAGCTATGCCTTTAATTATGACTGCAATGGTGCTACTGAGATGTTTAGGAGGATGAAATTAGAAGGGTTTGTGCCGAACCCTGTGACTTGGACGTCATTATTGTCAAGTCATGCTCGTTGTGGCCGCCATGAAGAAACCTTGGAGTTGTTTGGTAGAATGAGGGTGGTAGGAATTAAAACTACAGCTGAATCACTTTCTGTGTTGTTATCTGTATGTGCTAATCTGGCTGTGGTTGACAAGGGTAAGATGATTCATGGATATGTTATAAGGGGTGGTTTCCAAGATTACTTGTTTGTGGAAAATGCCCTTATATGTATGTACGGAAAGTGTGGTGATATAGAAAATGCTCACGAATCATTTTTGGGAATGAAAAGCAAGAACCTTGTCAGTTGGAATGCTTTGATCTCAGCCTATGCTGAATGTGGTTTGTGCGATGAGGCCTTTGCAATATTTTCTCAGCTGAATGAACACCCATTAATGAAACCTAATATCATAAGTTGGAGTGCTGTTATTGGAGGGCTTTCTTCCCAGGGACGAGGAGAGGAGTCTCTAGAACTTTTTCGGCGGATGCAGAATGCAGGAATAATTGGCAATTCTGTCACCATATCCAGTGTTTTATCTGTTTGTGCCGAACTACCAGCATTGAACCTTGGTAGGGAAATTCATTGTCATGTGGTTAGGGCTTTGATAGATGGTAGCATTTTGGTTAGAAATGGCTTGGTTAACATGTACACGAAGTGTGGAAGTTTTAAGGAAGGGCATCTAGTATTTGAGAGTTTTGACAGTAAGGACTTGATAACGTGGAACACTATGATTGCTGGATACGGGATGCATGGACTTGGTGAGAATGCTCTAAGAGTTTTTTATCGGATGCTTAACTCGGGATTAAAGCCAGACGAAGTAACATTTGTTTCTGTTCTTTCCGCTTGCAGCCATGGCGGGCTAGTCACGGAGGGCTGTCGTCTTTATGATCAGATGATTAGCGTCTATGGTATAGAACCCCAGATGGAGCACTATGCGTGCATGGTTGATCTTCTCGGCCGTGCTGGGTTATTGCTAGAAGGAAGCAAGATTGTGAAAAACATGCCAATGGAACCCAATGCTTGTGTTTTGGGTGCTCTTCTTAATTCTTGTAGGATGCACAAGAATAGTAATATTGCGGAAGAAACTGCCACTGACGTTTTCAGCATGAAATCTGAAATGACCGGGAGCTACATGCTGCTGTCAAATATGTATGCTGCTAGCGGGAGATGGGAGGAGTCGGCGAAGGTGAGGATCTCAGCAAAGACAAAGGGTTTGAAGAAAATTCGGGGCCAGAGTTGGATCGAGGTGAAGAATAAGGTTTTTATGTTCTCGGCAGGGGAGACTATGCAAGCAGGGTTGGAGTTGATTCATGGTATCCTTCAAGACTTGGCGCTTCAAATGGAGAGTGAGGGTTGTTTACCCAATGAGAGAGGGATTCAACACAACAGGCTACAAATGTAAACATATTTTTCCAAATGATAAATTGGATTGTGTTATTCTTGGTCAATATATGTGCAAACTGTTAATTAACTACTAGTTCTTGTGCACCATAGTACTAGTTTTGACTTTGCTTTAATTGATTGGTACCCTTTTCTCTGGACAAATATTTTCTTGGCACCCAAGTTTTTTTTTTTTTTTTTGTTGAACAACCGATATTATCTACAGTAATGGGACGGGGGAATGGGTTAACCCTCACAATGGACTAGCAATAATGTGGTTCAATTTCGCCTTTGGCGAGAATCGGATTTAAAACTTTTCACTTACAAATGAAGAAGAATACCAAAATACATTGCGGAGAGGCCTCCACAAAATTGTGTCAAAACAAAAACTGTGTAAAAGGAGTTGTGCCACGGATCCACTCCATTTATATATAAGATTAACTAAGACCACCTAACATAGGCAAATATGGAACAAAATAAATTTGGATATTTCAATGGAGTAGGATTATCAGAGAAAAAATTGTGTTTGTGAGTTTGTTCACCTAATGCTTACATAAAATGACCAAACTAAATTAAAACCTCATAATCCGAAGCATATAGCAAACCAGCTTGTACGAGTAGGTTGGCCATATATAGTTGATCATATTTACGAGTTGCTAAAGTGCCAGGACAAGTCTCGCACAAATTGTACATCGATATTATAATTATTTTTGTCAAACTGCTAATTAGAATCGTTAATCATATACTTATATTTGAGTAGCGGAATTTAATAGACATTAATCAAACAACATATATATAAATTATATACAAGATGTGCCTGAAAAAATATTACTCTTTTGTTTTCGTTTAATCAAAATAGTCGTTAATTCTTTTGTTTGTTTGAACTTTGAAGCACCATGCATACATTTATGTAAGCAATTAAAAAAATAGGGTGAACTGGCGATTTACTCTACATTATCATTTCAGTGAAAATTAGGTCTCTAAATTATTATTTTTTGGATAAATTCATTAAAAGTTGGTAATTTCATGCTATTATTTTATTCAATTTTTCGTCAACTTAAGTCATATGACACATTATAGAGGGTAATACCGTCATTTTATCGCCTATAACTGCTTAAAGATGCATATGGATTGAGAATTTAATGTCTAATTTACCATCCAAGCTTAACTCCATGCACTATTACTTAGAAAGGCAAAAAAAAAGTCCTTAAACTTATGAAAACAACAGCCTAGGTTCCAAAGTGTATTCCATGCGAGTCATGTGACTTAAATTGATGAAAAATTAAATAAACTAGCTTAGAATCTAATATTAGGGATGTAATTGGCAGATTTTGTAATTTAAGGACTTTTTTTTTCAATAAAAAAATAATTTAAGAACTTAATTTTCACTCAGGTGATAATTCAAAGACTAAATCTGTAGTTCACCGAACACAATAATATATCCAGAAAGAATATTGGTAGAGTGCTCTCCACGTTTTTTGGTAGGCTCCTTCTAAAATCCTCAAGGTCCCTTAAAAATGGTAACAGAAGATTTTGATGGAGCAAAAAATTTTGGTTTTGGTGGATTTAGTTGAGGGAGTGGGTTTGTTGTATGACACTATGAAAGACTATGAGAGGATCACCAACTTCATTTTCCTTGAATCTGGCTCATCAACTTTACATTCTTATACTATTCAATCCTCTTCCACTTTAGTGCAATAATCTAAAAACAAATTAATTAGTTAAGGCAATGTTCATCTAAACACAAATTCCCTATCTGAAAGGAAAAAAAAAAAAAACCCAATTAATGCAACCAAGAAAGAGTATCCAGAAAAAATTCACCCTTGCACTCACGACAAAAATTTTAACTTAAACTTTTATGTTTCCTCTAATCGAACAAAAGAAAAGGTAAAACTAAAAATATAATTCCCAAAAAGGAGACATTTATCATTCAACACAAAACAAAATGTTCCCAAAACATTCATATTTATGGCCTAAAGTACATAGTAATTTCCAAATTTTGTCTATTTTTCAACAAATAGTATTAAAATACTAATACTAAAACGGCAGCGTTTTGTAGGTGTCAGCAATAGCGGATGTATAAAAAGCACAAAGCGCAGGGGGCGAAAACATAACGGAAAAACGAAAAATCAGACTGGAAAAACGCCAAGCTTTGTGCTTTTCATGATTAAGCTTCCGGTTCGCAGAATGGCAGAATTGGAAAGCGTCGGAGCGTATCGTATAGGACTCAACGAGTCCTATCGGTCTCTGCCGTCGGTCTACTTAGCCTTCATGACAATCTGGTTCGTCTCCGCCTGCTCCTGGACCTTCAACACCTACAAAAACCGCCATCTCCAGGTCCCTTTTTCCTCCATTTCCATTCTTTTTTTTTAAATAAAAATTTAAAAAAAATTTGTATTCTGGGGTTTTTTTTTTAACTTGATAATGTTGGTGATGCATAATTTGGGTTATAGGAGAAAATTTGAAAGGCTTTTCTACTGTGCTCTGTTTGGTTAAAGAATTCACGTTTCAAAATTTAATTTATATTGTTTGTGAAAACCGTTTACAGTGGCTCTGTTTCTAGGCAAATGAACAAATGGGCATTTCTATTTTTCTATTGGGTAATCGGTTTCAGTGTTTAATCTATTTCTTCTGTTTGGTTGCTGAGAAATTATATGTATATATGTATGTATGTATGTATGTACACCAAAAGTTGTTTACTTGTCTACATGTCTTGAGAGCCAAACGAGGCGGACATTTAAATTTTCATGAATTTGGCTCATTTGTGTGTGTTAATAATATCCTACTTATTTGATTCAATTGCTTGTGTTGCTTTGTTGTTAAACTAGAGCAGACGAATAATTTGCAGTGGACGCTCGCTTCTGTTCCGCTGATTAAAGCCTTGCAACTTACGTTGTCTTTCCTCTTCTGGTATGTCTGTTGATCTTTTAGGAAATGAAATGTAGATGCTCTTCATTGTGCCACTGCCAACAGACATAAATTCATGTCTTGAATTTGAAATCAATTCCCTTTTCACTTTTTCGAAGAACCCTTCTCCAATCTCCATGTAGGGGATAAACCAATCACTTGAAGAACTTCAAAACATTTCATCCGCTCTGAAGCTAATATGATGTTACTTATCAGTTAACAGGATATTTGTCAATGCCTAAAGTTCTGAGGCCAATAGTTTAGAGAGCTCTATAGGAAATTGTATATATCATATGATTTTGTTATGTGTATCGGTGAGGAAGTAAAGCACATTCGGTCTTCTTTGTCATCAATATTCTACCGTTGTTTCCTCCATCACGCATACTAATTTTGAAGAATCACTTTTAGGTATTCATGCTTTCATCTTCAAATATGCTCCCTGTGGATGTCATTTGGGATGTATGTAACTGGAGTGATATTTCAGACAGCTTCTTTTGTGTCTTTTTTACTCATCTCCCATGGTTACTGCATCATGTGTGAGCGCCTTTCAGTGACTGAGCGGCGTACTACTGCTTCCCTGGGCTGTGTCTTTTACTTGACTCTTGTCGGATACAAAGCTTCTGTACCTTATTTCTCTGTAAGTTTCCTTCTTTGACTAGCTAAAAAGCATTACAATGGCAAATAGGCAGGAACTGTTGCTTCTTTTTAATCGTTTTTAGTAACTTATCAGTGCGTACTATTTTTCCGTTACTGCCTTGATTCAGGTCTTGCTGCTGCTTAGCTATTTCATCTCGTTCTATGTGATATTTCACCATATTTCGCAAAATCTTTTAGTATTGCGCCACCAATTAAGCTTCATAGATGATGAAGATGTTCATGCAATGCATGATGCAGTCTATACAAAGTACACCATGTTCAAGTATGTGTTTCACATTTTTGCAGTCATACTCCCATTTTATAACCTTGTTCCAACATACGGTGACCTTAAAAGAGATGATATCACATTTTGAACCTCATATGCTGCATTCTGATGTCGATGCAGAAAGTTTCAAGGTGCAATGCAGATAGTAGCCGTGGCAGAGGCTGTGGTATGATATCTTTATGTTATTGATTATAATTACGTATACAAATATAAATATATACAGACAATAGTTGACAGAACTAGCATTCTGGTTCTCAGATATACATTAACACGGATGACTCATCCGAAAATTACTGGATTCGCTTGTTAATTCGAGAATGGGCACAGTTCTGCATCTTTGTTTACATTGGGTATGTTTACCTTCTTGGTTCCGTGAATGTTCCTTTCATGGGAACAGATGTGGTTATGAATGTTTTTTGAATTCATGGAAATAGCTAAAGTTCATCGTGCAAGAAGACCTTTGGTTTTCCTTTGTTCACCTTCCTCCTGTTTGATGTTGTAACTCCACAACTGTATCTTGCAGGTGGACTTTTAGGTCAAGGGACTTGGCACCACGGTTTTCCGTTATGCCAACATTGAAATCTAAACTAGTGGTGCCTCCCATTTATAGCATTGTAAGTTATTTTCATTATTCCCACTGAAAAAAATTTGACGTTGAAGAAATAGTGTCAACAGATGCATCCATGGTTCAGAAATTAGCATCCAATGAGGAAGGAAACAAGTAATTAAGAAGTAGAATTTTCGTATTTACTTTCCCTTCTACTCATGGCAATGCAGGAAATGGATGCAGAAACTTTCAGAGATTTCACCAAGCATGAATGGCACATTGGAGTGGTGAGCAATAGGAACACAATCTGATTTTACATGACTGATGCCCGTTATTCTTCGTATAATGGTCTTAATTTTCTGGAAACTTCTTCATCCCCTAATTAAAAAGTGCTTGAACCACTGCAGCCAACTTCACCATCTTGCGAAGAAAGCGCTAAGGATTCTGTCTTGGTAATAATTCAGCATCCGCACGCATATAGAACAACTGCAGCCGGAAAATCTTCTCACATCCAAGACCAGAAGCCACTGTAGGCTGTAGCGCTTCAACGATTCAACTACAGATGTCAAAAACTTGACATGCAAGTAACCGATAGAGCAGTTCGAGTGTTCAAACATCTTCTCGCTGTCGCTTTCGCTTTTTTGTTGGTGAGGCGAGCCAACGGCGTTTTTTTTCTCAATTTTCAAATGGAATGCAATTCCCGTGTAGAAAAGTCTGAAGTAGCCAATATATACCTGTAAATAAATACAACCTACGAATCGAATTGTATAAATCAGACAAATTAGAAAACAAATGGTATCTTCTTTGCTCTTTTATAATTTCTATTGCTTTGCTATTTGTATCATTTAATTCATTTCCTTCCTTCTTGTGAGAATTACACTTTGCCGATTTTGAGACGATATTAAAGTAGGGTACGACATGACAAGCACAATACATATCATTTTAGTGTTGTGAAAAGATTTAACGTCACTATTTATATATCACGTGATGAGAAAGATAGACACATGATTGTATACAATTGGTGATATAACACATTTTATTCTGACAAGCCAAAATATTTACTATTATTATTATTTTTTTAATTTACATATTCTCCATCTCAGTTAACTTATGGATGCTTTATGTTGCAATGTTTTTTTTTTTTTTTTTTTTTTTTTTTTATAACTTCGAATTATGTTGCTATTTCATTCCAAACGACTTGTCGTGTCTTGTTTCAAAACGACAACTTGCCGTTCCCTTTTTCCACCTCCAACTGAAACCATGACCCATCCTCTTCCTCTTGAATTTATGACAGCTCCTCTCCTCCTCAGTCGCTAACTATGTTGCTGTTAGAATCTAGAGACTATGATCTCTATTGTAAGGAATGAAGTGAAAATGGAGATGAAATGTTTCTAGAAAAACTTAGAGAGTTGGAGATAGGGTATTTACACGGAGCAAAATAGCTTCATTCATTCACACACTACACATAAGGCATGTGCAGCAATAAAACCGATGAGAGGAGAGAGAGATTCTCGCTTGCAAAGTTTAATCTCCACCATTCATGTAATCTACCCTATAAGATAGCTACAAGTGGCAACACACACTACTAACACTAAGATTACATCTCAGCTGTCCAATTGGAATATAATCCAATGGCTCACATTTAAATATGAAATTCTAAACGTTATGCTAATATTTCTCTAGCACAAACACTTATATTCCAACACTCCTTTCTAAGTGTTGTGCTGAGATTACTCCAAGCTTCTTTCTCGGGTATTCGAATTGATCTCTGGCCAATGCCTTGGTAAAGATATCTGCAACTTGCTCCTCAGTCTTGCAGTATAGTAGATCAATCTCCCCATCTTGTAATGCATCTCAAATGAAGTGAAATTGTTTGTTTATGTGCCTTGTCTTATGATGATGCACATGATTCTTGGTTATGGCTATAGCAGATGTATTATAACATAGAATTGTTGTAGGCTCAACCTGTTCTTCATCAAAATCTAAAAGAACAAATCTCAACCAGATTGCTTGTGCAGTGGCTTCTGCTGCACTGACATATTTAGCCTCTACAGTGGATAGTGCAACACTGCTTTGCTTGATTGATGCCCACGAAAATACACCTAAACCAAGGCTAAATGCATATCCAGATGTGCTTTTTATATCATCCTCACTCCCTGACCAATCACTATCACAGTAGCCAATAAGCATTGCTTCCTGCCCTTTCCCATATGCTATACCATAATCAAGTGTGCCTTAAATGTACCTAAGTACTCTCTTGGCAGTTCCCATATGTTTTCTGGTATGACCATGCATAAATCTAGCTAACAAACTTGCTGCAAACATGATGTCTGGCCTTGTTGCAGTCAAATATAGCAGACTCCCAACTATCTGTCTATATAGACTTTCATCAGCTTGTTCACTTCCATCCATTTTAGATAGTTTTTCATTTACTACAAGAGAGGTAGCAATTGATTTACAATTTTTGAAACCATAACTTATCGAGCAATGTCTTTGCATACTTCTTTTGGTAGAGTCAGTTTGTATCACACATAAACCCAAGAAGTGATGCAACAACCCAAGATCAGTCATTTCATACTGTCTCATCATCTCAGTTTTGAACTTCCTCATCAATTTGTTTGAACTCCCAGTGTAGATGATACCATCCATATATAGAGAAACAATGAGTATTTCACTTTCATTAGTCTTCACATATAATGTTGCTTCACTGGGACTCCTTTGAAAACCAACCTTAGTGAAATAGGAGTTGATTTCTTCATACCAAGCTCTTGAAGCTTGCTTAAGACCATATAATGCCTTCTTGAGTTTGTAAACTCCATCCTCCTTGTTCTTAATCACAAATCCAAGGGGTTGATCAACATATACCTCTTCATGTAATACTCTATTAAAAATGCTGACTTCACATCTAATTGAAATAGTCTCCACCCTTTATGTGCAGCCAAAGCAACCAATGTTCTAATTGTATCAAGCCTAGCAACTGGTGCAAAAGTTTCATTGAAGTCTATTCCAAGCTTTTGAGAATAACCCTTTGCAACTAATCTTGCTTTGTTTTTCTGCACTGAGCCATCAAGATTCAACTTGGTTTTGTAAACCCATTTGACACCATTACTGGTTTATCAGATGGTCTACTAACCAACTCTCAAGTGTTGTTCTTCTCTATCATTGCAATTTCATTCTCCATTGCTTTCTGCCATGATTCATCCTTCATAGCTTCTTTAAATGTTTTAGGTTCAAGGATGCACAAATTGCACCTTTCATACACTTCTGCAATGCTTTTACATTTCAGTGGAGTGTGATCAACATCTTGTGGACCTGAACTTCCACTATCTCCTGCAGTACCAATGCCAACATGTACTTCTTCAATATTTTCTAGTGTCTCACCATCACCTTCTGAAATCTCAATTTGAGTCAAACTTGGTTCACTAGTTTTCTTTTCTTTCTCTGTAAGCATATTACTAAGTGAAATTCAGATACTGCATTCTTTTTGTGCATTCCAATCCCAACTTGCTTCCTCATTGAATACTATATCTCTGGAAATAACAACTTTTCCAGATTTAATGTTATAAAGCTTGTAGCCTTTCTCACAGCTTCCATACCCTAGAAACACACATCTTGTGCTAGCCAAATTAAACTTCTGTCTTTGTCGTTCTGGAACATGTGTATAGCACAGAGAACCAAACACCCTCAAATGTTTAATTCCTGGCTTCCTTCCACTATAGGCTTCAAATGGAGTTTTATCGTCCAAGGCTTTGGTTGGACACTTGTTTAAGACATACATTGTAGTGTTCACTACCTCTGCCTAAAACTCTAGTGGTATCTTCTTCTCAAACATCATACACTTAGCCATCTCCACAATGGTCCTGTTCTTTTTTTTCAACCACTCCATTCTGTTGTGGTGAATATGCCACAGTGAGCTGTTTTTCCATTCCCATTTCTTCACAAAACTTGTTGAACTCAATGGATATATACTCTCCTCCTCTGTCACTTCTTAGTTTCTTCAACTTATACCCACTTTGTAGTTCAATAGTAGCCTTAAACTTCTTAAAGAAATTGAACACCTTATATTTGTATCTCAAAAAATAAACCCAACACATCTGAGTACAATCATCTATGAAGGTGAGGAAGTACCTATTTCTTGCCTTTGTAATAGTTTGCATTGGTCCACACACATTAGTGTGTACCAATTCCAGTGGAATAGTGGCCTACTTGTTTCTCTTGGAAAAGAATATCTGTAATGTTTCCCAAGAATTCACCCCTCACATACTTTATTGGTGTTCTTGATTTCTGGCAATCCAAGCACCATTTCTTTCTCCTGTAGCAACTTCAAACTATTGACATTCAAATGTCCCATTCTTCTATGCTAGACCAAAGTTGATTTACTCACATTTACTTTTAATGCAAAATGTAAATCTGTTTGAAGTTTCGAAGGAAAACTTCTGTTTCCTCTCATTGGCACTTTAGCAGCCAGATTAGAGAGAGAGAGCAATCATCATAAATTTCAGCCTTATTATCTCAAAAAATCAGAAAGTATCCATGCTTCATCATCTACCCTACACTGAGTAAATTCTCCTTAAGACCAGAGACTAGCATTACTTCTTTGAATACCTCATTCCCATCTTAGTGTCAACCACCAAACTTCCATTTCCAATAACATCAACCAATTGTCCTATCCCTATTTCTGCTTTTGCAGTTATTCTTCTATCAATATCAACTAGCTCATCCTCTCTGCCAGTCATATGATTACTACAGCCACTGTCCACATACCATACATTTTCCATGAACTTCTTATCAACTGCATTATTAACATAGAACATGGTTGGTGTAGGAAAAACCTGAGTTGCATAATTCAGCTGCTGAACATTTTTCTTGTTGTTGCAGTCCCTTGCAATATGCCTTATTTTTCCACAACAGTGACACTTAGGTTTGCCTTTAAGAAAACATTCTCCATAATGATACTTGTTACAGTGCCTGCAAGGGTTTCTACCACCTTCTGTAGCTACAATTTGCTTCATAAATTGGTAAGTAGGCTTTTGATCCCACTCTTTAAATTTTGGTTTCAAATTCTTCTGGTATCGATTCTCTTGATTCCCAGAAGCATTGACAGGTTTAGGGTTCACACTAAGGCTTGCAAATGCTCTCTCAGTCTTATTCTCATTATGTCTCTCCAATTTTTGTGCAAAACTTTTCAACGAGGCAACTACCTATTGGACCTCAATCACATCTATATCTCTTGAGTGTTCAATTACAGAACATATAGGATCATACATAGAGGGTAAACTAATCAACATTTTCTGCACAATTCTTTCTCTAGACAATTCCTCTCCATAACTTCTCATTTGATTTATCAGATCAAACAATTTTGTATGATAAGCAGGCAAAGACTCATCATCTCTCATTCTGGTGTATTCAAATTCTCTACGAAGACTTTGTAATTTGACACTTCTAACCTGTTTGTCACCATGGAATTCTTGCATCAAAATATCCTAAGCTCCCTTAGAGGTTTCTTTGTGAGAGATCCGAGGGGGGATCTCATCGAAAACCGCTCCTTGAATCAGCCCCAACTCCTTGGCATTTTTCATGAGCTTCTTCGAGAGATATGCAGCATCACTCGATCCCTCATTCTCATTCTTCTTTTCAGTAGATTCATCAGCTCCTTTCGAATCTGAGCACTCTACTCCTTTTTCAACAAACTCCCATAACCTATGAGATTTGAATATAGTCTTCATCCTTATGCTCCAAAATTCATAATTCTATCCGTTGAATATCGGCTCTCTTAGCTCACCACCTCTAGACCCTGCCATGTTAGACACAGATCTCCAAGCAATTTCTTCAAATTTCAACTCGTTTCCTTCACATATTCAATCGCCTAGTGTTAAGCGACCAAACCTGGCTCTGAGACCACGTTAGAATCTGGAGACTGATCTTTATTGTAAGGAATGAAGCGAAAATGGAGATGAAATGTTTCTGGTAAAACTTAGAAAGTTGGAGAGAAGGTATTCACACAGAGCAAAATTGCTTCATTCATTCACACTGTACATAAGGCATTTGCAGCAATAAAACTGATAGGAGGAGAGAGATTCTCTCTTACAAAGTTTAATCTCCACCATTCATGTAATCTACCTTATAAGACAGCTACAAGTGGCAACACACACTACTAACACTAAGATTACATCTCAGCTGTCCAATTGGAATATAATCCAATGGCTCACATTTAAATCTGAAATTCTAAAAGTTATGCTAATATTTCTCTAGCACAAACACTTATATTCCAACAGTTGCACGTACACAGACACATGACACGGCAATACAGTGACATGGACACGGCGATGTGTCAAATCAAAAAATAAGGACATGAATACATTTAGGACACAACGATTAAAATATAATAAATATTATACATAGGGAAATTTTATTTGAACTAATCTAACCTCTTTCTACACCCAACTTAATCTCTACACCCATATTACTTTTAATTAAATTATCGATATCTCTTTAAACCCAAATTTATTACCTAAATTACCCTCACAAACCCAATTCAATTTATAAATTTATCTTTACACCCATTTAGAAATAAAAACTCAAAAACCAATGTTCTGCAACTCATTCAAGAATTATTTGATGAGATGAGTGAAAAGGATGAGGTCACTTATGGCTCATTAGTTTTGAGGTACATGTTTCATGGGTTTGTTGATAAAGCTGTAGTTGTTTTTCGCGATAGTAAGAAGCCAAAGTTAAGTGTTTGGAATCCTGTGATTTTTGGTTTAGTTCAGAACAACCGGCACGAAGAGGCATTAAATTTAATTTGTGTAATGCAGGCATGCGGTTGCAGACCAAATACCGTGACATTGTCAAGTATTCTTCCCACAATATCGTTTTTATCAAATCTGAAAGTCAAGGAGGAAGTACATGCTTATGATGTTAGAAACAATTTAATTTGTCTAGGCACAAAGAGATTTTGATCAAGCAAAAATCAGTGTGTTGCAAGTGCTATTATACATCGATACTCATGCAAAGTTGAGTTTTCTTTAATAGGCATAACAGGATTTTGATCAAGCAAAATGTAAGAGCTTAATCATTTGGACATCAATAATATCAGCTAATGCATCCCACAAATATGTTGATACATCTCTTGGCCTCTTTTATGAGATGTTGAATAGCATAGCTCAACCAAAACAAGTGACACTTACAACATTATTAATAGCTTATGCAAACAAGTGACACTCACTACCTTTCAAATGTTTTCAGGCACGAGCAAAGTCACAATAGTCGGGATAATTGGTCTATAAAAGTAAGAAGATGCCCTAGAGACAAGGACACTCAACCAATCAAACAAACAAACATACAAACTCTGCTTTCAAGCCAGATTTGCATCCAAAAGCTGTAATCAACCTAGATCTCAGATCTTTTTAGCAACAAGCTATCTCTTATTTAGATCTCCTTAAAAAACCTATCTTTCTCTAGTTTAAAAGCTCTGCAACCTCCCTCAGTGGTGTAGTATCGATTCCCTCGTGTAAATCTGTTTACCATCCATCCATTTCTAGCATACAAATCTGTATAAACTCAAAGAGAAGTGGCTACAAGAGGTTTAACCTTGACAGACAAGGTGAAATCTTGCCCGACTTCCTTGTGTTTGTACTTACATTTGTAGATCTATTACTTAATGCATTCTCCAGTATGTATTTAAGTTATTTCCATTAGTTTTCCTACTTCGAGAATGCCATTTGTAGTTGGATCTGGTTAGTTTAATGAATATGTCATCATTAAAACGAACCAAGAACCAAGTAAATGGCTTAAAGCGCTTTGAACTCCCTTCATACGAACATAAAAGACTATGAACTAAAGGTCCTTGGTCACAAGGCAAGAAAAAAAACTTAATGTGGACTTAATCCATCCATAACAATCCTTTGATAATAAGAAGTCCGAATAACTTGGGGCACAAGTAATCGATTAAAACACACTTGTTCTACATTTGCTATATTAAGATAGCAGTGACATGCCTAACACTTAGTTTTGATTGTGAGCCTCAAGGCCTACACCTAAGGCCTCACAAAGGCACATTTCAGAACTAACTCTGTCTTCTTCTTGTAGCACATCAACAAGCAAGAGCTTGACTATACATCCAAAATGCCAATCCCTTAGGGAGATGTGCAGAGGTCTGAGGATCTCTCTCTAGAGAAATCTTCACCATGAACAGCTCTAGTTCCTATAGTAAAGGGACTGCCTAGAGACCTCAAATATTTCACCACGATTGAGGCTTGTATAAGGACAACCAATGGTGGAGCCTATTGAGATTTTGAGTGGGGAATGAGGCAACCCACATGAAAGATTACATGTAGCTGTTGAGCTACTTCCTCCACACATGTGACTGCTCCATTAGTCGTCAGACAGTTGCTGACGTAGTTGCAACGTGGGTCCCGCACGCACATGCTACTTTTTTTTTTCTATTACAAATCAACGGTCCAAATTTGATTTGAAATTTTTTTATTGTATAAACTTCAAATTTAGGGTACATACTATAAGGACTTTCTCATTGGAGATAATATTCTTTTAGGGACACAAAGATTCTTTTAAGTCTCTAAATAATTCCTCAAACATGATGGTGGGAATGGAGATGCTCTTGGGACTCAATTTTTGGTGCATTGTAGAGCTTTATTCCTTATTTATAAGCTTTAAGGACTACCATTAGAGATGCTCTTAGGTGAGCATATATATCTAAACTACATATTAATAGAATCTTTTTTGTCAACCAAAATAGGGTGAAATGATTATTGTCTTCCATCACAACAAAAAAGTTAAGGGCATTAACGTACACAAAACAAATTTTGCTATTTTTGTATAAGCATCAGCACCTACAGGCAAGGTATTAAATATCGATGATATCGAAAATATCGGTAGTCCAAAAACACGGAAATTTCGATGGAAATATCGGGATATTATCGATATCGATAAAAATTGAATAAAAACCACGGAAATTGTAAGAAAAACTTGGAAATTTTTATTGAAACTTTGCAAGATGTTTATTTAATCAATTATCTATTAGTTTATCACAAAAAATTAGAAGGAAATGCATTGCATGATAGATATAACTGATTTAAGTTGATTATATAACGAGCTGGCAAACATTGTGAGTGTAGAAAATATGTAGTAATTAATGAAAGAAGTTTAAACACACCATAATCATTTATATATAATGAATTAGTACAATATTTTACACTTTATACATTGCATGGTAAGATTCATGAGTGACTTAGCAAGGTCTAAAATATCGATGATATCGGATATATTGGTAGTCCAAAAACACGGAAATTTCGATGGAAATATCGGGATATTATGGATATTTTAGACCATGCCTACAGGTGAGAAAATAAAAAATAAACCTCTCTCACTCTCTACTTAATCTCAATTTTAAAAACAAGGAGAAATTGTAACATTGATCCTTCAACTTTAACCCAATTAGAGAAATTGTCCCTCAACTTTAACCCAATTGGAGTAATGACCCTCAATTTTAACTCAATTATAGCAATGATCATTCCCACATGAGTCATTTTGGCAAATTTTGATAGAGTTGACGAAAATGATCATAATTGTGCGTTTTGATGAGTTAAGAGATCAATGGTCATAAATTTTTAGTTGAGGGAGTATTGTTCTAATTGAATTAAAATTAAGAGATCATTGCTACAATTTTCTTTTAAAAAAAAAATTAAATGAAAATTCACACATTTTGTATATGGGCATATATTAGTATTTAACAACTATAAGCCGTTGTCCTCTAAAAAACTGGACCCTACCCCACCCTGCCCCGTTTGACCTCTAAAAAAATTGAACCCGCCCCGCACCCTATCCGAACCTTGTCTACTCACCCCGACCCATGGTTCTTCTATCGGCTTGCCCACTCTAGTTAGATTTGGTTGAGATTAAATCTCAACCGTTCGTAAATACCCACCGTTTAAACTCTCTCTCTCTCACCCAGGATCTCACCGCACTCACACACACGACTCTCTCTCGACCCTGCTCTCTGTTTTGCCTCTTCGGCACCACTGCCCATTACCAACTCATCTCTCATCTCACACACACAAGAGACCAAAGAGAGAGTGGTTGATTGAGTTCGTCCGAAGTATGATTCAAAACCGATCTCTGATTGCGTAACATCCCTCTGTGACGCTGCTACCAAGATTCGATTTTTCACCCTCCAGCTTTCACCATGAGTGCAGGTCCTCTCTCTCTCTCTCTCTCTCTCTCTCTCTCTCTCTCTCTCACAAATTGATATGTTGGGTTATTCTTAGATTAGTGAAAGATAATGGAAAACCCAGGTGGAAGATTTGATTTTGATTGCATAAGTTTTGGCTGGAATTGATGATTATGCAATAGAAATATGTTGAAACTTGTATGAATGCAGAGAAATGGTCTCTTTAATTATTTATTTGGAGATTGTTTGTGTTTTCTGATTGCCCTTTTTGGGAAATGAACACATTAGTGCCATATCTTGCTTGCTTATTTGAGTTCAAGGATGCTGGTGAAAGCTCTTCCCAGGGAAAAGTTGCGGGCACATTTTAGAGGTTCAAACCGATGGCTTTTCGAGTTTTCGGTATTATAAAGTTGTGAAATTTGAGTATCATGGGTTTGGATTTATACTTGGTGATTGTATTTTAAGTAGGCTCTTCTCTCGGCATGAACTGGTATTCGGGACTTCTAACATAAAATTAGCTTCTTATTGCCTAAAACTGAAAAAAGACATATTTCCCAACTCAAATGTTGTTACTTCTTTGGAATTTTGGAAATTCCAAGTCACCGTCGTCATCTTCCAAGAAGAAGAAATTATGCAATGGCAAGATGAGGTTAAGGAGGAAAAGCCTCTTGCTGATATAACCAATATCTACACTATCTACAACTACAACAATTCCATTCAATATCATTTCCCGATCAGCAGAACTGTTTCATTCCCTTGCTCTGTCGTGTCTGCACAAATTCCAGGAAAAGAAAAGTAATTGGGGTTCGGGAGGAGGTTCAAGAGTCACCAGCCGCTCCAACTCCAAGTCTCTGAGGATGGGTTTGGCTGCCTATGACACTATGTGTAATCTAATGTACTAATGTGTTTGCTAGAATTAATTGTTTGCCTCTATATTCTGGTAGGCCTTTGAATTTTGGGCTTGATTGATTTCTCATCAACTCATCATAATAATTAGTTCCCTTTCTACTTGAGTATAACTATAAACTTATAGGATGCTCTAGAACTTGAGGTACCGTGAATTTAGTGGTGGAGGAGTTTAAACATAAAAACTCAAAATTTGGTACTAGTTGTTTTGTATGATTTGATAGTTGTGGTGCTTTGCGGAACCCGTGATAATGAACTGTATACACCATGTGAATAAGATCGTAGTATTGTATTTAATGCGCTTGTGCAGACAATTCTCCTGCTATGTTAGAATTGGCCTTTGGCCTGCATGATGTCAGTGTTATTTGTATTAAAGAGATGAAAATCTTGGTCAGGGACTCAGGCCTAACCACGAAATAGATACCACCATTCTTGCAGTAATATATATGTATCTCAGTTTTGTTTAAAAGTGTGAATATTTCTTGTAGGTGGTGCCTTTGGTGGTAATAGGGGACTGAGCCCAGTTCCTCCGGAGAAAGGTGTCTTTCCTTTGGATCATATGCATTTGTGTGACCTGGTAATATCGCTTATTTGATTGATGAACATTCTTTTTCACATTTGTTTTCTTTGTAGAAGCAAGTTTGTCAAAAGTGGGTTTTATGTTGGAGTGGGTTCAGTATGGTTGTTAAATGTGAAAGTTTTGATGATATTTCTTTGTCTTGTTTGAAGTTCTTAGCTTCTTGGCTTTGTTTTAGGAGAAAAAGGAATACCTCAGCTGTCTCAAAACTTCGGGCCACCAATCAGAAAAATGTAGACTCTTCTCAAAAAAGTACCTGGAATGCCGCATGGAAAAGTGAGTTTTTTGGGTTTTGTGTAAAACAAATTGTAATGCTTTGATCTGGAATTCATTAAGTCTGCGACATTCTTCTGCATATTATTCAAAACCAAAACAACATGACACTCAAAAGCTTGAAGTATAGGTTTTGAAGTTTCAGAGGTGTATGTTGGGCGAAAATAGCATAAAGTACTAACTTCCCTGCATAAAAGCTTTTCGTGTCTTTCCCTCACCTTCTGATGGTAGGTTTGTATCAAAAAGCACTTCTGGCATTAGGTTTGTGTCAAATTATGTTATAGGTTTGTTCGTGAATGTAAAAATGAAATCATTTATAGTTTGAGGAACCATAATTTGAATTTGGCAGATTTAGCTATCCTATTTCGTGGATGAAACATTTTGGCGTATCTAAATATGATGAAGGTCTTGAACCAAAAACTGAGGAAAACAATTTAATGGTAAATATATTAGAAAATTGTCAATTCATAGCTATTTGAGCCCTCATTCCTTATATTGTCTCTTTCTTTTTCACATACAGATTTGTTATGAACTTTGGATTTCATAGACCGTTTATATGTATCTTGCAGGAACTTGATGGCAAAACAAGACATGTCGGAACTTGGATTCGTTAGGGAAAGTAACTCGGATGCTTCTGGAGAGAAGGTTTCCGAGCGGATTGCTAATTAGATCGGATGATAACTTAGAAGACGATAGTAGTTGGGAGAGTTTTACCGAACATTGAATCTTGATCATGGAAGAACTACTTGTAAAGGATCCAAAAACATTAGTGTTTTGGTTTTTTCAAAAGATGTTAATGGTTTATTTTCGTAGACTTGTAGAGAAGGCAATGATGCTAATTTTTGATAAGATGAATCAAATTTAAGTTTGACATTTTAAATGGCAAAGGACCCAAATAAGACCCAAATAAGGTATGATAGGGAGCCTTGCGGTCGGGTTCCAGAAAAATGTCAAAGGCAAAAATTTCTGCAACGAGAATGTCATTTCAAGTCAATTAGGCAAGGTCTTATATTTTATTAAATACTTTTATGTATTAATTCAGTGTGTAATTAATTTAAAATATCATTAGCAGTAATTTTGGTGTTAATTGTTTTAACTTTTAACTATAGAATTTGTTTTTGAGTAGTGCTAGAGAGACTAAATTTGTAGATTAATTTTGTAAACGAAATGAAATGGAAGTTGATTATTGAATTATCGCTTAAGCGTTGATTAACATATGTATTTATTATTGGTAATACATTATTTAGTTTGCAAATTTAGTTACGTAGCTGTTTGGGCCCAAAATAGCAGTTTGGGCCGAGCGAGGAATCATTCTCGGCCCGGGAAGCCGTACGGCGAAAGGGTCATGGAGCGTTCAGCTCATGGGCTTCCAAGCCTAGGTCGGTTAAATCAGAATGCAAGTCGAGTCCTAATACAATAGGGACTCTCGACGAGATCAGTAAACTAGAAAGCGAATCCGGCTCAGTTAAGGACTAGATTCGTAGTCCTAGCAGAGATATGACTGATCGAGGTAATGTTAATCCGGAGAAGGAAACCTAGTTCGAATAGGATTGGAATTCGGGCTCGGTGTTCTGCTACTATAAATACAAGACATTCAGCAACGGAAAAGACCCCACAAAATCAATACAAAATTGCCCTGCGCAAACTCTCACAACTTGTGATTTTTCTTTTTCCTTTTTTGCTGACACATCTTCCGTTGGCATCAACAGCACTGTGGAAGCAATCGGTGATATCTTAAGTCGGCATAGATAGCTCTGTCACCGTAGAGTCAGTCGGTCTCGCAGTACCTTCCGTTGGCATCAACAGCACTGCGGCGAGAATGATTGATTACCTATCCAAGTCTCGGTCGAGGTCATCTCATCAGCCTTCTCGGCGAAGTGAGGCGTTACAGTTATTACATTCGGCACATTGAAAGCCGAATTTGATATTGAACTTCGTAAGAATAGTAACCTTGTCTTCAGGTTCGAGAGCCCAAGAGGCCGAGACGTGTTACTTTCTTGGCCGCAATCGCAAGACGCAGAAGTCAGTAGCGCGACCCAACGCAACATCAATAAATTTACTCCTCGGCCGAGCTCGGCCGACGAGTTGGCACGCCCCGCATTCACCGAATGACGTAGTTAGCTTATAGATTACTCGGCCTGCGCGCCACGTAGGCTTTGTAGTTTCTAGGGTCAACATTTTGGCACGCCCAGTGGGACCCAGTGCTAAACTACGAAGTTCATGCCAATTGAAACACGATCGGTAAAAAAGAAAACAACTATGGGAAAGTCGACAACCGATTTGCCGAATCAAAGCCTGGGACAAAGTGTGCCGCAGGCGCAAAATCCCCTTAGCGCTGTGACACCTGAGTCCACGAGCGAGCGCCGAGAGAGAGAAGTTAATCTCGGCGGTCAAACTCCGTGGTTTAGAAATCCCTAACAGAAACACATGCGTTCTCAATGAAGGGATAGTAGAGGAGTGTGACGAGGATGGTGGTGAAGGATCTGACCCACCAACAAGGTCGTTTCTTCGAAAGCGACTGGACGAGCAGTCTCGGTCAGTCGAACAGACGTTTAGTCGAGGCATTGACAAGCTGCATGACGCGATACTCAGTTCCAATGATCGACAAACCAGGCTGCTCGAAATGCTGGTTTAGTCAAGTTGGTGGCAGCAGGCCTTTCGATCTTCGCCAACCTTGTTTACCAGGAAAACAACCCGGGCCGACGGCCGAGCCTATTCCTGCCCCGCTCAAACCAATTAACTTGGAGAAAGGAGGAGGGTCGAATAGTAGGTCAGACGGGACCGACCAGAGGGTCGAAGCAACACCTGTTGATGTGACCGAAGTTCAGCGGATGATCGACTCGGCCATGAAGAAAGGGCCGAAGTTTCCCAAGTTTATTCATCCGTACCCAGCTTACGTGGAGACGTTTGGATACCCGAAAGGGTTCAAGATCCCAGATTTTAGTCTTTTTGCCGGTGAATCGTCCCTGTCTTCGTTGGAGCACGTGGCTCGTTTCACCGCGCAATGCGGAGATGTTAATAGTGATTTCCACAAGTTACGGCTGTTCAATTTTTCATTGACCGGCTCGGCATTTGCCTGGTACATCAATCTCTCGCCTAATTCCGTCCAAAACTGGGAGGAGTTGGTCGAGAAGTTCCACGAGCAGTTTTATCGGCCGGGGATGGAGATGTCAGTCTCTTCATTAGCACGGATGGCTCAAGCATCTGATGAGTCACCAATGGATTATCTTACCAGGTTCAAATCGGCTAGGAATTGGTGCCGAGTGCCTTTACCCGAAGTCGAATTTGTCAGGCTTGCTTTGAACGGCCTTGACGTCGAATACAAAAAGAAATTCTTGGGGGCAAATTTCCGGGATATGTACGAATTAGCCCAACATGTCGAGCAGTATGATTATTTGCTCCGCGAGCGAAGGTCGACAGTGAACCAGAGGAGAAGTCCTTTTCGCAACCTGTGGCCGCAACTCGGCAAAAGGTAGCCAATGAAGGCCAACATCACGGGGTTTTTGGGAGGCTCAGTCCTAAAGTACGGATGGAAGAGACACCCCCGGTCAGGCGGCGCCTCGATTTTGATGCTTCATTTTATGACGATGATTACTATAAGCGTAATTCTAGCAGTTCAGGATCATCGCGGAGTCAAAAGACCTTCAAGCCTCCCGAGCCTAGAGATCAACGTTGGTATACATACCATTCTTCGAAGGGCGTTTACACCGCGTTGTCCAAATCTCAGAAACGCCGGCATCAACGGATAGATTGCATGGCTCGCCGACGAGCAGCCCAAGAAACTTCGGCCCCTAAGTGGCGGCCGAAGGATACAGTTGCCACTGATGAGGAGCGACCACCTCCAGCGATTATGACAGAGTTGGCTCAGGGGAAACGGCTGGTCGATCAAGATGTCGAGACCATGTTTGAAGAAGCTGATAAACGGATCAAACTTCTCATTCGACCAGGGGAAATGAAGGCACGTCTTGAACATTTCAGGCAAGAGGCCGAAAGCAAACTATCCCCGCCAGTTATACAAGAGCCTTTGGTCAAAATTCGACGGAATTTGCATCCCCCGTTCCTTGGGGAGTCTTTGGAGTATATGCGAGAATTTCATAAGAATTATTCGGCCAACGATCTGTATGGTCTGCCGAAGGCATGCCAGGACACCATCGATCTGATCCTGACTTGTCCGGATGCCGAGCGGATCATCCAGAAGACCTCAGATCCAGGATTGAAAGTAAGGTTCCAGCACATACGAGAAGCTCGTGTCTTTGGATTTGAAGTCGACCCGTACACCGATATCAATGCAGCCGACCTTCCTTTCTCGCTGGAGGACCTTCAGTATTTACGATATCACTTTGAAGTATTTTCGGCGGTTTCTCTTTTCGGCCTTACGACCGATGAAATCGCATGTATTGCCCGTCTGGATGCTTATCTCGACACTAGGGATGCTCGGCTACACTACCAGAAGCAGGTTCAGGTCCTGACCCCAAGTTCATTGTCAATCTCAACCTTACCTGAGGCGGTCACGCAGAACCAACAAGTCGTCGAAGCAGCTCCGCCGAGTGACGTCATTGAAGAAGGGACAGAAAAGTCTTGTTGTCCGACTCTGACGATAACTGAGTCCGTAGTCGCCGACCAACCGAACGAGGAGGATCTTGACCAGATGGGCCCTTCAGTCCTGGATAATATGGAAATCAGTATGGTCCATGTGTTACCTGCCGATTTTCAATCAAGCACGGCTCAACCAAATTTCCTTGATGGAGATGTGGTTGCCGAGGAACCCGGCCATGTTGATTTTGTATCGATTGCTGAAGGCGAGTCAACAGCAAAAGATGATAGTCTAAAGGCCGCTTTGGCCGAATTGTTCCCTCGCTCATCGTCGGCCAAGCTTCACCATTTAAAGCCACTGTATGTGACGGCCCACATCGAGGGATATCCAGTTTCTAAAGTTTTTGTCGACTGTGGAGCTACCGTTAATATCATGCCTCTGAACATCATGAAGGCCTTGCTCCGTTCAAATGACGAGCTTATTCCGTCAGGAATCACAATGAGTAGTTTTGTCGGTGACAAATCCCATACCAAAGGTGTACTACCGTTAACTGTAAATATCGCCGGTCGCACCCATATGACCGCCTTTTTCGTGGTTGATTCCAAAACCGAGTATAATGCATTGCTCGGCCGAGATTGAATTCATCAAACCAGTTGTATTCCTTCATCATTGTACCAAGTGCTTTTCTTTTGGGACGGCAAATCGGTCACTGTTCATCCGGCCGATAGCCAGCCATTCGAAGCTAACATGATCCAAGCGCGGTATTATGACGATCACATCGGCTACATTACTTTGCAAGGCTTCAATGAAGAGGGACGGCCGACTCGAATTTCCGTTCAGAAAGCTATCGAGGTTGGCGCCGAGACTGTCCAGCAGGATTCGGCGAGACTCGGATTAGCTAACTTTCTCCCCGAATCCGATGTTTGACACCGATCGGGAAGCACGCAGGGCCGCGGTTTCATCTACTATGGAACGACTGCTGGCCCATTGGTATACGATATCTAAACAACCAAATTCAGGCATCAACCTCGTCGAGTTCCTTGCTGAGGGAGATAATGGGCTTGTATTATCCTTTGATAAAATTCGAGCCGCCCCGGCCGAACTCGAAGATCATCGGCCCCTTGTTAAGGACCCTTTGGAAGAGATTAATGTTGGGACGGCCGATGACCCGCGGCTTTTGTTTATTAGTGCGTTACTTCCCCAACGAATGAAAGACGGGTTTCGTACCTTGCTTACGGAATTCAAAGATTGTTTTGCTTGGAGTTATCATGAAATGCCCGGCTTAGATCATACTCTGGTCGAGCATGAATTACGTATTAAGCCCGAATTTAAACCTTTCCGTCAGCCACCTCGTCGATTCTCGACCGAAGTACAACTCAGTGTCAAGGACGAACTAGTTCGGCTTTTGAAAGCCGAATTCATTCGGACAGCTCGATATGTCGAATGGTTAGCAAATATCGTTCCTGTATTAAAGAAAAATGGGGCACTGCGCATCTGTACCGATTTTCGCAATCTGAATCTGGCAACTCTCAAAGATGAGTATACAATGCCGATTTCAGATCTGTTAATCGATGCCGCGGTAAATCACGCGATGTTATCCTTTATGGATGGACATGCCGGGTACAACCAAATATTTATTGCTGAAGCCGATGTGCACAAAACTGCTTTCCGTTGCCCGGGGGCACTCGGCACTTATGAATGGGTTGTCATGCCATTCGGCCTCAAGAATGCCGGCGCCACGTACCAACGGGCGATGAACACCATCTTCCATGATTTAATTGGTACCATCGTCGAAGTTTACATCGACGATGTTGTCGTCAAATCTAAACGCCGACGGACACATCTGGACGATCTCCGACAGGCTTTCCTTCGCATGCGTCAGCACAACCTCAAGATGAACCCTGCCAAGTATGCCTTTGGTGTCTCGGCCGGGAATTTTCTTGGTTTTCTCGTACATCATCGGGGGATTGAAGTCGATGAGAATAAGGCACGTGCAATCGTCAGTGCTCCACCACCGACTACGAAGAAACAACTGCAGTCCTTACTCGGCAAGATAAATTTTCTCCGCCGATTTATAGCTAACTCGGCAGGAAAAATGAAAGCGTTTTCCACGCTTTTGAAACTTAAGGACTCAGATACATTTGCGTGGACGACCGAGCATCAGGCGGCATTTACACAAATCAAAATCTCCCTTACAACGCCGCCTGTTCTTGTTCCACCTCGGCGCGGTAAACCCCTCAAACTATATATTTCGGCGGCTGAAGAGTCCATCGGCTGCCTTCTTGCCCAAGACAATGATGCCGGGCGAGAGCAGGCTATTTTTTACCTCAGTCGAAATCTTAATCCACCGGAGATCAATTATTCCGCCGTGGAGAAACTCTGTCTTGCCGTGTTCTTCGCCGCCTCCAAACTCCGGCATTACATGCTTCCGTCGGTCACACAAGTCATTGCCCAGACCGACGTCATCCGGTACATGCTTACCCGGCTGATCGTAAAAGGGAGAATTGGGAAGTGGACGATGGCGTTGTCCGAGTTTAGCCTACAATACGTGCCTCAGAAAGCTGTCAAAGGCCAAGCATTGGCCGATTTCCTGGCTCACCATCCTTCCCCCTATGGTTTTGGGGACACCGATGTCGAAATCGGCATGGTTGAAGCACGTGACAACTATTGGACGATGTATTTTGACGGGTCCAGTACTTCATCCTCGGCCGGCGTTGGAGTTGTCATTCAATCTCCTAATCATGATCGTTGGTATTTTTCGCTTAAGTTGGATTTTGACTGCACCAATAATCAGGCCGAATATGAAGCCTTAATCATCGGCCTTGGCCTCCTTCATGACTTGCAGGCCACCCGTGCCCTCGTCCTCGGTGACTCTGAACTTGTGATCAACCAACTTAATGGATCTTTTCGATGCATGAGTTGTACCCTGGCACCCTACCACATGGTTGTCAGCTATTTGGCCGAGTCCTTTGCCGGTATTACGTTCGAGCATGTTTCCCGCACAACTCCTGGGGGGAAAGCTAGGCCGAGAAATACCGGTGCTACGATAATTATACCCGGCCTTGGTCAACCAGCAAATCCTCCGGCGCAACGATGTAATACGCACTCGAGTCATGTCTTTACCTTCGTTGTTAGACCAACAAGATACTATAGAGGTCTGCACCGTCGAGGCAACATCAGATGATTGGAGAAAACCCATTATGCAGTACCTTGATAATCCCAATGGAAAACATAGTCGCAAGACACGAGTTCACGCCACGAACTATGTCACGTACCAGAACGAGTTATATCGAAAAGGGGATGATGGATTACTACTGCTATGCCTCGGCCCCCAAGAGGGTGCTCGGGCGATCTCGGAAGTTCATGAAGGGGTTTGCGGAGCTCATCAATCCGGACGGAAAATGCGATGGTTACTTCGACGGCACGGCTATTTTTGGCCAAGGATACTAAAGGATTGTATCGAGTTTGCACGAGGATGCGTACAGTGCCAAATCCACGGGCCAATACAAAGGGTCCCGGCTGAATCATTACATTCGGTCATTAAACCATGGCCGTTTAGAGGATGGGCCATGGACGTAATCGGCAAAATCACGCCGACTTCTGGAGCTGCTAAGCATGCATGGATAATAGTCGCAACTGATTACTTTACTAAGTGGGTCGAAGCAAAATCATACGCCGAGTTAACATCTAAAGAGGTTTGCGACTTCGTGGAGGAACACATTGTGACCCGGTTCGGTGTACCGGAAACGATCATAACCGACAATGGAACAATTTTCACAGCCGAAAGGTTTAAAGAATACACGGCAAATTTGAAAATTCAGTTGGAACAGTCCACACCGTATTATCCACAGGCGAATGGACAGGCCGAGGCAAGTAATAAAGTGTTGATCGGCATCCTCGAAAAAATAATAAAAGAAAGGCCTGGCATGTGGCATTTGAAGTTGAACGAGGCATTATGGGCATACCGAACGTCGCCCCGGTCGGCGACCGCGACAATCCCATACGCATTAACCTACGGACACGATGCAATGCTACCAGTCGAGTTGAGCATAAATTCGTTGCGATTAATTGAACAAAGTAGTTTGTTTAGCGCCGAATATAGTCAGTCCATGAGACAGGAATTAGAAGATTCGGAAGAAGCGCGACTTGACGCTTATAACTTACTAGTGGCGAAAAAACAGATTGCCGAGCGAGCCTATAATCAAAAGGTGCGACAGAAAACATTCGGCGAAGGTGAGTTAGTGTGGCAAACGGTGTTGCCCGTAGGAATAAAAGATCCTAGGTTCGGCAAGTGGTCGCCGAATTGGGAAGGGCTGTTTATTGTGCATAAAGTATACGGAAAATGGGCGTATCATCTTAAAGACCGAACCGGTGCGGTCCACAGATTACCGATTAATGGGAAGTTTTTGAAGAAATATTATCCGGTCACATGGGAAATGCGGGAATAGTAAACCAGTCCATTAAAATTGATAAGTATTTACAAAATGAGTAGGTCGGTTGGTTTACATTCAGATACATTTAAGGAGAAGAGGGAAGAATAGTGCTGAGCAGAGCCTTCAACTCCAACCACCGCACGTCGGCCATGAGGACTTCGGCTTGCCGATTCTTTTTGTCCAGCTTCAACCGCTCGACCCGTTTTTTGGCTGCCGCATACTCGGTTAGGCGATCCTTCCCGCCTGACTCGAAGTCTCTAGCAAGCTCGGAAGCAATGGCCGACCGACATTTTGCTAGTTCAGCCATCTGACGGTCGAGCTCGGCTAACGCGTCTCCTTTTGCCCGTAGATCGTCAATCTTCGGACGGAGGGTGTCTTGAACGGCCATGGCGGCTTGCAGGTCTTGTTCGGCCTTTAGAGCGGTCTGGAAGATACTAAATGTCTCCCGAACGCGCTCCAAGGAAGATGATGCCCGAACAATGGCATCTCCGCTCAGGCGACCGTCGGCCCCAAGGTCGTTCAGACACACGCCGAGCAGATCAAGACCGTTGCGCTCAAGTACTTGCGATGATGAGAGCGACATGACTTCTCGCAGCTGGGTTAGGGGGCTGGGATCGGCAGCTTCGGTCGTAGCGGCCGAAGGACCAGACTCTGCAGTAGTACTGGAGAGGAGGGCTTTGAATTCGACCTCCCAGGAAGCCTGCACATACAAATCAGGTTAAGTTTAAAGAAGTCATGACAGGAGTAGCAAGAAGGTTTCGTTTTTTTAAACCTCCCGATAGGAGACCTCGGCCATGTCTCCAGGATCGTTGGTCGAACCTAAAGAACTCAATGGCCGAGCCCAGTGTTTCAGGTTGCTTCTCAATTCACGCGGCCGATGGAGGTTATCTACGTTTGATGGCCACTGAGGCGGCCACGAAATATAGATAACGCCCTTCGGCGCATAGAATTCTCGGTGAAAAGAATGTACATGCACCTGACATTTATTATTTTCTTCGTTTAGAATTCTAAAGAAAAAAACAATCAAGGAAAGATGGTCGAAGGTGCTTACAAAGGCTGAGGTAGCCTCCTGTGGAGGAATGTGGAAGCCCTGGTCTTGAGGATGAACAGGCGATTCCGCCGTTGCCTCGGGTTCCTCGACCGGTCGTTTTCCACGGTCGGCTGTGGAAGGGCCGACTGGAACAGCTGCTTCAGAGGAGGCAGGGACGTCCTGGTCCTGTGAGGGAGCGAGATGTTCGGCCACCGGGGTCGATTCCTCGACTGGGCGCTTGCCACGATCAGCCGTGGAGGGGCCGGCTCGAACCGCCGTCTCAGACACTAGAGGAGGTGGTTGGCGAGGATGAGGACGGTGTGCCGGCGGGACTTCGTCGCTCCCTTCGCTTTCTTCTAGAACGAAGACCGAGGGCTTTGGATTTTTCGGGGAGGTTTCCTCGGCCGTAGAGACCACCTGTTGAGGGACATGTGCCTTCTCGACGGAGGGAGGTATGACTTGTTTCTCGGCCAGGGGTTGGCCGGCGGCTAGAGAAGGGGAAGCACTGGGAGTCGTCGTCCCCGTAGTGTGACTGAGATGACGTGGATCTCCCGTGCACCTTTCTTCGCCAGTCGTTTGACCCGCTTGGCAGGCGGGGAAGGCTCGATAGCCGGCTCGGCCTCTTGGCGAGGCCGTTTGACCAGCACGACCCTACCAGCGGGTTTGTCTTTTTGGGCCACGACCGATTTTTTCCCGGCCATGGTAGCGGCAACTACCTCCGTTTTTCTCAAGGGCCGACTACCTAAGAAGACAGGCAATTCAGTAAGGCAAATTAATATGCAAAAAAAAAAAAAAAAAAAAAAAAAAAAATTGAACAGGTACCTTGAGTATGAGGGGCCGAGGCCTTCTTAGGTCGGTCACCAAAGAGTCTGCTCAGCACATCCTCGACCGGCGCACCAAAGAACTCCTGGGTGTAATTTTCCCACCACTCACCGAAGGTGTCGGTGCAATGGGTTTCTGGGGTGGCTGGTCGAAGGCGGAATTTTTGGCAGCGCTCTTGGAATTCCCTCACGGCGGTTCTACACTTCTTCTCCGAGGAACGAGGTTCATGACCACGGCTTAGGACTGTTCGGGAGGAGAGAAGGGGGACGGGGCAGCCCTGAAGGTAGCCGAGCTGTCGGGCAATGAAGTTCGGATGATATACTTCCCAACCCGACCGTTTCCCATCACAGCCGAGAGGGAGGTCGCGAGCAAGCACAAACGACCCCCAGGTCTGACGAAGATCGGCGTCTTCCTCCGAGCTCCATGTAGAGGTAGGCAGCCTGATGGAGGAAGGATAGTCTCGACGACGACATATCAGGAACTCGTCGTTGGAGAAGTCGTCGAGAGCGAAGAGGTACCGAAATACCTCTTCGGCTTGATGGGGAGGTATCGGTCGAGAGGCCAGTTGAGGTCCAAGCGCCTCTGTTGGTAAGAAGTCAGCTATGGCCGGCCGAATGGAGGCAAAGTATACTTGCAACCAGAGTTGGAAGACCCAGAGAGGACCATTCTGGTGTGGGTCGACCTTGTGGAGGGTCACCTCGGCCAGGCAACGGAAAAGTTGGGCGAGAATGTTGGAACTCAGTGCCAGGACGTGTCCACTAGCCAGGGCTTCGGCTACCGGCATGTTCTCGACCAAACACTTGTTTGACTTGGTACAACAAATGTATTTGTTGTACCAATAGAAGAGGAAGGCTTCATGCTCTCCCTCTCGCAGGTCCTCTTCTCCTCGGCCGGCGAAGTGAAGATAGAGGGTGTTGTAATTACAGAAGTTCTTGTGGAGCTTCTGAATGTCTTCATTCGACGGGATGTGACCGTCACGGTTCAGGGTCTCGAAGGCTCGACGGTCGAAAAACGTCTTCAGGTCGATATTCGACGGGTGCCCAGAAAGTGTCGCGTCGACAAGGATCCCGGTTGCCGAAGTCCCCAGAATGGCAGTGATATCCAGGATGGTGGGACCAATGGGACCCAGAGGAAGAACCATTGTGTTGGTGGCCGAGCACCAGAAGCACAGAGCGGCTAGGAGAAGCTCCTTGTCGAGGACGATTTCCATGGACGAAAGGAGGATGGCGTCGTAGATGCCGAGAGCATTCCATTGCTCGCCAAAGAGTCGTTCCATTCGAACAACCCAGGTTGCCCAGGTTGTGGTCGTCGAGGGCCAGAAGCCCTGGGGCTTCGCCGCATCCCATCGCGACCATTCAAACCCTTGAAGCAGGGGTGTTAGGCAGTGCTCCTGTAGAAGGCCGATGATAGTCGACGGTATTGTAGCCTTGAAGAGAGGACCCAGGATTTGGTACTGAGTGCTCATGTCGTTTTCAAACCGTATGGTCTTGATCGAGCTCCGATCAAGAATCTTCTGGTGCTGGTCACATTCCCTGGAAAGCTTGGAGATGAAGGACGCCATTTGTAAGAAAGAAGCACGGAGTAAAAGGGTTTTCTGGGTTGGGGATTTAAGACGAAGACTTGGAATGGAGAAATGCACTGGAAAGCAATGGCAGAGAAGTTCAGGAAGTTTGAGAGCGTAAAGTACGAATTAGGGAATTTCGGTATTTATAGAGTTGTGGGGGGAAGAGCAATCGTTCGAAATTCAAAACAAAGGGCAAAATAGACCAAATGAATCGTGGATCATGATGAACATTTGGGAAATGCAGGTGAGAAGATCGAAGGTTTCAGATGTTGGAGGCGCACGATTGCGTGTGACGGCGAAATTAATGACGAAAGACGGTTCGATGCTTGCATGATGACAAGTGGGCTCACGGACTGAGGTAGTGGCTCACGGATTGAGATAGTGGTCATAATGGCAAGACGGTTCGGGCAGGCGCACGCTTCAGACGTCATTATTGGGGATTGGCCATGTTAGAGGATGCCACGTGGCGAGTGGTTTAGCATGATCAAGATCGTGCGATCGTGTTCAATAAATGCGCCTTGGAACTCGGGTATTAGGATTCTGAGTGGTAGATTCGCTTCTTCAAGGCCGAAACTCGGCCGAAGGTTTCAGGCCGAGGACCTCAGAAGCGAGGGGGCAATGTTTGGGCCCAAAATAGCAGTTTGGGCCGAGGGAGGAATCACTCTCGGCCCGGGAAGCCGTACGGCGAAAGGGTCATGGAGCGTTCAGCTCATGGGCTTCCAAGCCTAGGTCGGTTAAATCAGAATGCAAGTTGAGTCCTAATACAATAGGGACTCTCGACGAGATCAGTAAACTAGAAAGCGAATCCGGCTCAGTTAAGGACTAGATTCGTAGTCCTAGCAGAGATAGGACTGATCAAGGTAATGTTAATCCGGAGAAGGAAACCTAGTTCGAATAGGATTGGAATTCGGGCTCGGTGTTCTGCTACTATAAATACAAGACATTCAGCAACGGAAAAGACCCCACAAAATCAATACAAAATTGCCCTGCGCAAACTCTCACAACTTGTGATTTTTCTTTTTCCTTTTTCGCTGACACATCTTCCGTTGGCATCAACAGCACTGTGGAAGCAACCGGTGATATCTTAAGTCGGCATAGATAGCTCTGTCACCGTAGAGTCAGTCGGTCTCGCAGTACCTTCCGTTGGCATCAACAGCACTGCGGCGAGAACGATTGATTACCTATCCAAGTCTCGGTCGAGAAGGGTTTCTAAATCCTTATTGGTTGAGGTCATCTCATCAGCCTTCTCAGCGAAGTGAGGCGTTACAGTTATTACATTCGGCACATTGAAAGCCGAATTTGATATTGAACTTCGTAAGAATAGTAACCTTGTCTTCAGGTTCGAGAGCCCAAGAGGCCGAGACGTGTTCCTTTCTCGGCCGCAATCGCAAGACGCAGAAGTCAGTAGCGCGACCTAACGCAACATCAACAAATTTACTCCTCGGCCGAGCTCGGCCGACGAGTTGGCACGCCCCGCATTCACCGAAGGACGTAGTTAGCTTATAGATTACTCGGCCTGCGCGCCACGTAGGCTTTGTAGTTTCTAGGGTCAACAGTAGCATTATCCTTTGTTCTTGAGAACAACAATTTTGCAGAAACAAAGGAAATTGGATCCTCTCCGAGGCAAGGCCTCGGGACCCTCCTGATCCACTAACACGGATCGTTAGCTTTTGATTTAACTGTTATAATTAATATAATTTTAGATGGACCTTCTGTTTATAACTGCAGGATCAAAATTTAACGATCCGTATTATTAGGGTATGAGGCGAGGATTTGCCGCAGAGAAGATCCAATTACGAAACAAAGAGTCCAAAACCTGAAAGAAAACAGAACCGCTGGCGGGAGAAAAACTCTATGACAGAGAAAATATAAAATATTTCTTGGGAGTTTCTGCACTCTCTCTCTCTCTCTGTGCCTCGACGGCCACGCTGCTGAAAGCCTCCTTTTTTATGACTTACATGGATCCATTTTGCTTCCCTTTTCTCTGTTTCGGATTTCCATGGCTCTCCATTTGTCTCCCATCAAACCTCACCTCTTTAACCACTCGTAAGCTCTCTCTCTCTTTCTCTCTCTCCCCTCACACAGATACCGTATATTTTAGACCACGTTAATAAATTATTATTATTATTATTGCCTTTAAAATTCTGGTATCTGGGTCTAATTAGAAATTTGGTTATGTGGATTGTTCATGGCTCATAGGAATTTGCTTCTGTTGGTTGAATTGATATCCAGATTCTGTATTCAAATGGGGTTTTGAGGTTTTCTTTTTAAATTACTTCAAATTGCTTTTAATTAAATTAACATTTGGGTCCAACAAAAAAAGAGTTAACATGCAGTATTGGTCCAAATTCTGTGAAGTTGATAACTTTGATACAATTTCAGTTCTGTTTGTATATAGACAAAACAAACAGAAACCAAGGAAGAAGACTAAATGTCATAAAATATCTAGTGGTAGAATTGCCATGTTCACTTACATGGAATAAGATTTGGAATCATTTTGATTCTTGACTTTCCTGCGTTTAGGAATATATGGAATCGTCGGGTTTCTCTTAAAATCCGTAATCCAATAGCTGAAAATCAAGAATCACAACAATTTGGGAGGGGTTGATCCCATTTTCCATTCCTTCTAGCCCTTGCTTCATAACTTACCCCATTCTAAGTCAACGTGTAGTTTATTGTCAAAACTCCTTCAATCATAAATTCTGATAGCAACTTCTCTTTTTGGGACAGAAGAAGATCTGTCAGATCAGAAAACCGGCAAAAGACAATTGCCAATGTGCATAAGCCTTCAAGGTGCAGCACAAATGAACAAGGAATCTATGGCTTTTCGACAAAAATTCATGTGCTTGGTTTATTGGTTAGGTGTTACAATTCGTCGACGTGGTCTTCATCTTGGACCTCATCATCTACAGCTTGTACAGCTTATTCTCGTCAAACAACTTGTGAGAATGGTGCCTCAGTGGCTAGTACTCGTAATCATGAAAACGAATTTAATCGGGTTAATTGCCTCGAATGGGTCTTACATGAATCAGCTAGGAGCTTCTCCGTTGCAGTTGAGTCACTTGAATTGCCAGGAAGCGGTCCAGAGCTTGCAATGGCATGGTCTGGGAAGGATGTCCATCAATGGCATAAGCGGATTTCTTACCAGGTCTAACATATCTTTTGCTTTCCTCAAAGCATGTTACAAATATTTTATAATGCCTATAGAACAAATTGTTTTGGCTGTTGAATTGTGTTAGCATGATTAGCGTCAGTATTTGAAAGGTGGTTTTGCAGCATTTTCTGCATCTCTTTTATTTGTTTGGATCACTGAATTGAGCAAGATGTAAACTAGTTAGTACAAATGAATTTTATAATGGACTACCATGGCTGTGCAGGTTGCAGTTTACTCTTTGTTGAAAACAGCAATCGAAGTAGAAATCTTGCTTTCCAGTGAACGTCATTGCAGCGCTTTTCCAGTTAGAGATATGTAAGTTTTCTCTGTTAAACCTTAATATGGTAAATTGAATTTGGTTGTCTTAGTTATAGTGCCTTAACTGAACAATGTTTGACTTAGTAATCATTTTCTAAAGAAAATGTGTCAGACTGAATGTTTAAACTTTGCTTAATATGTTCTTAGCTGAGCATTACTGTGCCTTTTCCATTTTGGATGCAAATATTGAATGTCTAAACTTTTCTTAATTCGGTGTTTTATCTGTTTCAGATTGACCCCAAAGATTGATTTGATTGGCGAATACATCGAGAGTGAATTGAACATGAGGCACTCAGAATTAGTTGAATGGTTTAGAGTGGTGGAACAGCCGCTTATTGCAGGATTTTTCACTCCCTTGTTGAGGAAGTGGTCTATGGAATATGCAGGAAGGTTTGCTCAAATAATTTGTGCTCTTAGCCTAGTATATGAAAAGTCTTGTGTTATCATTTGCCACAACAATCAGTACATTTATGTTTTCAATATACGACGGATTCCTGTGCACTATTTTATGCAGATGCAGTGACATTAACCTGTCCATCTGAAATTAAGCATATAGCCCTAAACAAAGAAATCTTCAGTGGTGTTGCAGGGATGGTTGTGGCTATAAGCTGCTGTGCTGCAGTGGCTAAATTGGGTTACGGTCGTGTTAAGTGCCCTTATTTTGCATTTTCACTTGGCGATGTAATTGTAGAGCTCATGGATCACTCACACAGTCTTGTGTCAGTGGAAAGACTACATAACTTAGCTACCGAGGCAGGATTTGAATTGGATTTCCTGTCCCATTTCGGTAGAAAGGTTCTGCTGAGCAACAAAAGTGAAGAGGTAGAATTTTGGATTGGGTTGGCTTATAAAAAACTATCAACGGCATTCAACAAAGAAAGTATGATCCTAGGCAAGCAGAATTTTCATCACAAGGTCAAATTTATATTTCATGATATTATCTTCAGACTCTGGGGTCTCAGATGCATTAATCAATTGCTAACTTGGCCCTTCTTTTATTTTTATTTTATTTATAAATTTAGAACCTTCAGCTCAGGTCTCGAGCGTTTAATTATTGCTCTTATTTATCAAGTTTTGACAGGTTCAAGGAGATACTTTGGCTATCTTAGGACTTTTTGCATATCTTGGGAGAAGGACTAGATTATTCTTGTCAAGGATGGGCATAAAGGATCTTGATGAGCTAGTTAAGGACTTCCTCAGGTAAACGGCTTCACGCTTAAATGTTTTAATCCAAAAGTACCAAAAACATAAGAGGTTGTATTGTCTGCCTGCAGCTACTTGGAGTGTGGTAGCCTTTTCATTCACCCAGAGCTTTCTTCCATAGCAGTTTATCAACACTTCATGGAGGTCCATTTCTAACCTTAGTAATTTTGATGCAGGTGAAAAATGCAAATCATACTAATCTTTAAGGTTTACCTTTATAGGTGGTGACTGATGAAATTGGATGGCTTGATTTCTATGCTGCATGTCCTCCGAAAAGAAGTCAAGAGAGGCGAAAAGGCAAACTGCATGCCATCCAGGCAGAGAAAGAGATTGCTCTGTCTGCTGTTTTTACTGTATGCTATGATGTTTTCTCTGGGTTTGCTCACTTCAGTCGTTCAACTCAACAGTCCTTAGACACTCATTTGCTAGACTTCTTGCTCCACAGGTAAAACATTCCCATTTTTTTCGTTGAGGTTTGCTTCCGTAAGTTTTTACTATTTGTTAAGGTGGCCAATGAGGTTTTCAACATTGATTTCTCAGCCAGAGCTTGCTAACTGTTTGTTTGGAAGACTACTGGGCTGCTTATGATAAATCATGGTATTATCTCTCTGGTGGGTTTGTTACATTCTATTTTCGAGACTAAATCAGAACTACCACAGAGGAAAGAGATAAATGTGCTTGTTTTTCGTTCTTATTTTTCTTTTCAAAGCAGTGAGTTGTTTAAGATTACAGAACCTGGTGCTCGTCGCACATCATTTGTAGGATCCATAGTTGCATCCAAGTTATCTGTAACAATGGAGGCGCAACAAGAGCCAAGTATCTTGACAACGTCAGAAGATTGTCAAAATTATAATCCTCAACGCAGGCTTAACCTGAGAAAGGTATTTACTTTCGAAAAAAACAACTACTGCTGTAAAAAAAAAATCAAATGAAATAAATAAATTAAGAATAAAAGAGCTTCATATATAATGATAGTTTACCAGTAGCTACGTTATCAGTCTCAGAGAAATATATTAAGTTAATTAACTGAGCAAAAGCGTTGCATGGTCTCTACACTCTCTACTTGGTTTCTACCGCTGCATATTATCTAATTGTTTCTTACATGGTTGTGACCATTTATTTCCTTCAATGGAAGGATTCCCCCTCTCCCGGGACGGAAACTATAAGCTCTATGGAGGAGGGAAGTGCCACGAAAGCAAAATATCATCAGCGAAGTTTAGTTAGGAAGTATAGCAACAAGCTGGTATCTACAAGCTCCGTAAGTCTAATAATCCATTGCTTCTTAGAGATGAGTTTATATCTATGTCTTGTTGAACTAAATTACATGTTATATGTGATGCTAATACTCAACATTTTTTTTTTTTAAATTTTTTTTGTAAGGATATATTGATGGGTACTCAGTTGCTTATCATAGACATAACGACTTCCGCAGAGCTACTCCTCAAACAATTGCGTGGCCACAAGGTTACAAGGCTGGAAAGAAAAAAGTTGAAAAGAACGCTAAATGACATTACTTCACTTATACCAGTTACAATTCTCATGTTACTTCCTGTAAGCACTAATTTGACCTTTTTTTCTTTCCTAGTGTTTTCATTTCCTTGCACAACGTAGCTAGTTACCTTTTAGCATTATATAGATTTACGAAAAGAAAAAGACATCGATTGAACAGCTGCTACTAAAACTATTGGTTGCATTCACCGCAGTTGCATTTTGAGCTAGCTCATGCTGTTCTCTATGATATGTTAAAATGCTTGTGACTATTATATTTGTACATGAGTCAGATTTTATCCCAAGCAGTTAATAAGCGAATTATACAAAGTCAACTATTTATCTTCCTTTTCTGTGACAAGGTATCAGCTGTAGGTCATGCTGCCATGCTAGCAGCAATCAACAAGTACATACCTGGCCTGGTAACGTAAATTTCCCTTTGCCATTTTTGTATCCTTCTTTTGAAGAAAAATCAATTTTGTAATTCATAATCGTAATTTTTACTGCACGTAGATTCCATCTCCATATTCTTCGGAGCGGCTGGATGTCGTGAAACAACTAAAGAGAACCAAGAAGATGGAAGTAATTAGGACATGGAACAACCTTGAAGATCCATCTTCTAGAATAACGTAAGTTATTGCTTTGTGGTGCTGCTTGCTTTACCCAAGTTGGAATAAACTGATTTATAATATGAAATTAGTGTTTGTGAATAGTCAAAAATGAATAAATATCACGAATTATTGTGACGTAGTTGTGCCTGTTGACCCATAATTGCATGCCTCGATATGGTTTGCAAACATAAATAACATTTTTGAAACAGAACCTTTTACTACAATGTGCTTAGTAGCTTAGGCATGTGTTATAGAACAAGAGCACCAAGGAGTTGAGTGAAAAGGGAAGGGAGGAGATGGTTCATACTTCATAGAGGGATAGGGAATTGGGTAGGGTTTGGGGTTGTAGTCGTAGGTATCTTTAGGGTCGATATTGGTAGGGTAGTGAAAGATGCGAGTTAAACAGGAAACAGAGAGAAAACTCATCCTTTAGGCCTTTCCTTTCTGATTTCAAGGAAGGACATGATGAAGATGATGATGACGATTTAGGTTTAGGAGGATCAAAGTCAAATGTCGTGACAAGAACAAGCACACTCCATGTGAGGCACATAAGCACATCTCCAACGAAAAAAGATCGTTCCTGGCTGAGGACAAGAATCTGGTGCACAAAAGGTAGACTTTCCGACCTCCTAGATGGACAAACTTGTATTCGAACGGGGCATGAAAGTGAGGAGGCGACGTCAAAGCAAAGCACTTGATCTCAGGTGGAGGCAAAGATCTTGGTCCCCAGAAATGCGTAAGCAAAGGGATCACGACTAGTTACGGGAGGTACTGGCAGAGGTTCCAGAGAGCATAGACTTTCCCGTTCAGCAGAGGATTTCTTGGGTTAACCATTACGAGTTTTGCAGGAGCACTCTACCAAATACTTGAATTTGATGCTGTGGATGAGATACCTAGGGCTACTCATGTGCTTGAACTCAAAGGTACGTATGACACAGGATCATCTTCTAGTTGTCATATTTTTCAGACGGAGAAGAGACGAGGAGTCCATTGTTCTTGGTCTTCTTTCTTCTCTTCCCCGGGCATGCCCAATTAGGTTTAGGGCATCCATAGCTGATTTCTTCTCCATTCTAATATGTATAAATGTATGCATGCCTACGCAATCACCCAAGGAAGCCCTAGGTTGCCCCCCAAGCATCAATTTATTTGGATATTTTGCCTTGCCACGCACGTTTCACTCTCACACAACTAAAACGTGCGGTGGGATGTTAAATACCATTAACTTTTAAAAAAACTAACGAAAAGTCCAATAAAACTCTACTTTTAATGAAAAATAACAAATAAAGGTGTAGTGAATAGTACTATAAAAAGGTAAAAATATAGGTTTTCGTTAAAAATGAACCGTACCAGAGTATTTCGTTAAAACTTCATTTTTTACCTTTGAAGATAATTTTTATTGGGAATATAGTTCTGTATTTTCCTTTTATCCCTTGCTTGGCGCGAAGGCTACTGGTTTGGGGTTAGGATGCGGTACTAAAAGTCCTTGGACTTCCAGGGGGTTTTTCTTTTGGGCAACTGTTCGCAGTTGGATCTCGTCAATACAGCCCCCTATAATTTTCATTACAGAGATATCTTTTTTTTCATTGTCCCCAGGGATTTTTTTGGGTAATCCGCTCCATGCTGCGAACAGTCAAATCTAAGCTAAACCTTGCTCTTCTTTCTTTCCTTGCGGTTGGGAAGCACACCAACAGCATTGCGTGATTCTACCTGGGGAGTTTTTGGGTAATCCGCTCCCATGTGTGTTACATGCTGTGGTCTCAACGCCCTTATGAGATTGTGAGGAGTTTCACGCGTTCTAAATATTATTTGGTTTCTATGCATGATTAAGCGATATATGATTCAAACAACTTTTCGTAGGAATAATCTATAAATGAAGATTAAAAAATTGAACTGTTCTAATAATGAAATTTGTACGATGCAGAAGGTAGGGAGTTAGAACCACCCACTGAAGGCATGAGATATGAACAAGAGATCCTATGTTGCAACGATAACTTTGAAAGTATGGTTAGCTATAAAGAATCACAATTAGCTTAGCAAAATGCTTTGACCAAAGACTTGAGTTGTAAAAACTCGAATTGACAACAGTTCGTGGGAGTGTAAGATCGATAAAGATAATCTGTCGGACTGTTTTATTATTCGTTTCCTATAATCAAATCAAATGCATGTACCACAATTTATTTTCTAAGAGAAAAAATCAAACAAAAAACGAGAGAAAAAAAGGAGGACAAAAAGGTACTCTACAAATTCATTACACGAGGGCGGGCTGGGTAAATCTTCGCCTGCATTACATTACATAATAGTAAAACTAGCAAAGCTAACTACACAACATTCACTCTCTTCAATCTCCAACACCGAAAACGAGCACGAATATGTTCATTTACTCTTTTCATTCCGATTCTGAGTTGATTTGGTCATTATCCCTTGCAATTGTATTTTATCATCGAAACATCTCAGCAATATATGCAAATTTCACTCTTTCCACAACAAAATATTAGTTCTATGAGATGAACCTGCTTTGAAATCACCATCGGAGTACAGCAGTGGTCCTTAGTCTTGAAGCACACGAAGAAAGGCTTAAACTACCCTCTTTGGATCACGAGCTGCAGCAATATGGTCCTACATAACAATCAGTAAGATAAACGATTCAACAACTTAGTACTAACAAAAAAACAAGCCGAAGAAAATTTTCTTGCTTTGCTTTGTAGATATCTGATCTATACAGGTTCAGGTACCATCGGCTTCGAAAATGTAGGTAACATCATCCTTAGGTTAAATACAGGTGAACAGTTGATATAACCATGCAAAATTGTAATGAAGGAAACATTAATAGGTTTCAGAAATCAAACTTACCGAGATAAAATCAAATGCTTTAGTATCCTCTTTCTTTGAACTGTTCACCACTGAACTAGGAGCTGGATTTGGTTGATTTGCATGGAAAATATCAGGAAGTGCTGAAGCATATCCTCCATTTGTTCCAGCAACGTTACTTAAATTCATATTTTGCGAATTGAAGTTTCCGAAGTGTTGAAAGCCAGACATTGTCGCTAGGAATTGCTGCTGAGCAAGGAGATTTCCCATGGCACCATAATTTATTGGCTGAGAAGGAAAGGCTGGATTGAACATAATTCCGGGAGGTATATTGTAAGGCATAGCACCAGGAGGAAACACTGCATTTCCATTCGGCAATGCTGTTTGAGAATTAAGAATGCCACTCCAAGCATTGCCGGATGCCTGATGGCTGGGATGACTAGCTGAATCCGATAGAAGTTCAGAAAGTTGTCCAGGAGGGGTTCTTTTCTGCTCCATCTTTGAGACATTTTTATCAATGGATAAGCCACCCATTAAATTGTTTAAATCATGTTTATGATCCTGCTCCTGCGGAAGTTCAGAATCGGGCCCAAAAATGTCAAACATTTCAGGTCCACTTTTCTTTTCTGCTATGGAGTTCTCATGAGGATCTCGTTTATTATCAACGGTAAGCCCAGAGAAGAGATCATCTGCTTGTTCTTTACTGTCATTAGTGTGGAACGATACATCTGCAAAAGGGTCATCGTCATTTTCCAGTTCACTGGTGCTTACGACATTCCCTGGGCCATCTCCAAATAAATCATCAATTAGTTGGGGTGCTGGTGATGGTGCGGTTAAGTTTGTGATGACTTGATCACTTGGGTTCTCAGTTGCAGCATTGGTCACATCGTAATCATCTAGATCACCGGTGTCTATAAGGTCAGGCATCTGAACAAAAGTAGCAGTCTGAGCCTTCATAGGCTGTTCTGAATTACTTGCCACATTGCCTGTCTGTTCTCCACCCAAGAGGCTCAAAACCTGCTCATTAAGAACAATGTCCATTCAAATGCATGACCTACTGTATCTTTTCAAAGAAAAATAAGGACGTGCACGCACACACACATCCAAACTGTAAAATTGCATTTAACCTCTCGAAAAAATTACATTTTCCTCACATCATCAAGCATGAATTCATCAAGAAATATACATTCAAATTATCTATAAGAAGAAGAAGAATCAAGTCTAGAAAAGTCACAAGGAGCAAGTATAGATTCTTTTCTACATACACAATGAAGTGACATTGCAGAAACAAGAAAATCATTATTTTATTAAACAGCACATGTTAACACTTAATGATTATAAGTAACAGATGGAGAATCCTTTCATGACAATTATGTAACAATGTACCAATTACTTTTGTTTGTCCTCTTTTAAAGCTCTTTTAATTCTTTGTTCGATACGAAATAGCCAAGGCAGCTCAACCTTTACAAATATATAACATTTTGTTATTTTTATCACCACAAGAAAATAAAAATCCTTTGATCCTACTATGTGAAAGACGGCAATCCCAAGTTCTTGTTCATTTACAATCAATCCTAGACTTGAGCAGCAAGGGCCGCCTGGATCTGACGTAGAAGAGTTCAAGTGATACAACCAGATAACACATAAAATCACTTGTTCATCATCAATATGTGTATTTTGAGAAACAAGGAAATGGACGAATCTCACACATATTCATATTTATAAGGAAATAAAGGAATACCTTGTTAGCCCTTTCCCTCAAAGAAGACTGGGGAGAGTCAGAGCATCTCACTACAAGATCTTTGTTGTCAATAAAATATGATTCTATGATTGCAAAATGCTCATCATCCTTTCTCCTCAAAATTGATTCAAGAACACAAATAGCTTTCATGCGTACCTGATAGACAAATAATCGCATAAAAGAAAGTTAGACAGAGATAGATCTATAAATACAACAAAAATTCCACCTAACCCTTACTCCTTAATAAATACTGATTGAACAATTAATAAGCAATGTGGAAGAATTATCGCCAACACTTAAGTATAATGAGCTTGCCTGCCACAATGGAGATTGTAGTTTTAAATCCAGGGCATGACTCAAAGCTACAGCATCCAACTTCTTTGCCTCAGTAAGGAAAATCAGAATGGCATCTCGAGTGGGTTGTAAACGTACACCACCTGACGTCACAATGGTCTCCAACAACCTCTCCTCACGGGTTTTACTCTCTCTGTAATTTGAACTGGAATCTCCATTGGTTATTTCAGTTTTGGTTACCCTAGAATCCTCATTCCATGGTCCACTAGCCACATTTTTTGATGACCCAAAACTATTTTGAGCCTCATTGCGATATTGAGCAGGTTCATATCTATCAACCTGCTCGCTTTCTATGGTCAACGATCTATGAAGATTTGGACTCTTGTAATTTCCATTGTCATTCTTTTTAAAAGAGTGACTATGGGTAAAATTACTAAGTCCCTGCTTGATAGATGCACTTCCAAGACCAACAACCTCACTAATGAAAGACCTTTTTTCATCTGATGACATCTCGATGTTCGTATTCCCAAAACCTTGTATTCTTCTGTTAAGATCATCTGCAGGTGGTGCATTACTTTCCTCTTGAAAGATAGCAGAAATAGCCTCATGAGCAGTATCCCGCACAGCCTTATTAAGTGCATCTCCTTTCAAAGGATCTGGGTGTCCCTTATAGTGAAATAGTTGGCGCACTGCCACTGAATTTCTTTGCATTTCCCTCCTGAACTCCACACCAGACTTTCCCACTGCATACTTTATTAATCTAAGAGCCTGCAGAACATTTGGGCATAATAGTATCAATATCTGCCGTAATCATAATTCTAAGTAAATTCTCGAAAAATATCCCAACATTCATCAAGTCTCACTTCTACATGCATCTCTGTTATGGAAACTAAACCACTGCAATCTACATAGAATTTACTATGCCAAGCCTATCTCTCATAAAGAGGCCGCTGATGAGTGGAAGTCATTATTTAAAGCAAAGTTATAAACACACTATATCATTTCATCGAAATTCAAACCACAGTGATTTACATAGAGTTCGATTCTCCGCGTCTATCATGCCATTGATGAACAGAAGCCATTACCACAATCAAAGTTATCATATAAAAAATCACCATCTTAATCTTCAATTCGCATTGATAACAAACTATTAGCAATAGCATTCACGAAGGAATATACATTCAGCTTAAACCGAACACCTGATACAATTATACTATAGAATAAAATCAACTCAACCAATTAATCAAGTTCATACAAGCATTTAACAAATACAAAAACCATACTTTCCCAACAAAATTTTACTATATAACAAGATTTATTGTATACCTTCTGCTTAACAATTGGACTTTTATGGTCCAAACGCTTAAATACAAACTCAGACATCTCCTTGACAATACTGACATGCGAGGATCGCAGAAGCTGGCAAATCTCTTCCAATTTGTA